TGTGGAAATCTATCTGAAAATAGGTTCTGCTTTGCAGGAAAAATAAAATATGAAACTCTAGCTATCAGTAGTTTTGTTTTCAAAGAGTGTGGCTTTCTTCAGACCATCTATCTTAAAAACATGCACTGCTGTGCTGCTGTGCAGCCTAGTACATGGGATTTTCCAATCACTCTCTACAAATTAATGAAAACAAACTTCACATTGCAAAGTTCATTAGCAGAAAAAAAAATACCCCAAGGTGCTTATGTGATTTTTTTTTTTCTTAAAATGGAAATCAGTGGGATTTTTCTCTGCTGAAGACTGTTTCAGAGAGGCATGGCAGTGATACAGAGAGGATTTTATGTACATTAAAACTCTGGATGCAAGATGTTCTGCTCTCCAGCAGAGGGACTTCCACAGCCTGCTTGAAACGTTTTCTGCTTTTGTGACAGACATGCTCAGTGCACTCCTACCCTGTGTGCCACAGGGATATCTGAGCTCATCGATGGAATGCAATCTTTTGTTACGCCAAGGTGAAGATGTGGAGAACGATAGGATGGCAGGGAAACATCATTGCATAGCAGTGATACCTGTGACTCCAAATCCTGCTTGCTTTCACACAAGTGGACAGCTTTCTCACTGTGGCTGCACCGTGGCAGGACTGAGCATTTTCCACCGCAGGGTGAAACCCTTGACCGTGCCTGCTACAGAAATCTCAGGCGCTAGCACAGAGCTTCCAGCAAAATGGGTGAGGAGTTATTTACTGGGGCAACTGTGGACTTTGTTTATTGTACTTTATAAACCTCTCAAAGTGGTTAAATTCTACTGTTCTCTGTCCACTAGATGGTTACAAAAGATAGTTACTTGTTTTCATTTCTATATAAAGCCCAAATACAGATGGACTTTTACTATCTGTAATGTTATTCACACACTTCTTTTCTAAGATATAACTTGCTTTACATTCTATAACATTTCTCCATTCCTTGTAACTTTTTGTGAACAATGTCGTACCTTTATAACATGAGAATCACTTAGGCTGAAAAATGCCTTTAACCCAGCACTGAAAAGCCCCCTACTAAACCACGTCCCCAGGTGCCACATCTACATGTCTTTTAAATACCTCCAAGGATGGTAGAATGGACTCTTCCACTTCCCAGGGCAGCCTGTTCTGCTGCTTGACAACTCTTTCCGTGAAGAAATTTTTGTCTAATATAAGTACATAGTATCGTACTGTGTGAGCCTAAGTGTTAAAGAAGGTCACTGACCATTACCCTGTGTATTATGGGGCCTTCATTCTCCTCCCTGTGTCCATATTCCAGCTCAGGGGGTGGTACCTGGAGAACTGCTGGTCCTACTATTGGACACTGAGGCAAAGAAGGCATTAAGTACCTCAGCTTCTTCCTCATCTTTTGTCATTATGTTCTCTCTGCCATCCAAAAAGAGGATGGAGAGTCTCCTTAGACTTCTTTTGGCTGCTAATGTATCTAGAGAAACATTTTTATTGTCTTTTATGACAGTAGACAGATTAAGTGCTAGTCAGGATTTGGCCCTTCTAATTTTCTCCCTCCATAACCTCATGACACCCTTGTCCTCCTGAGTTGCCTGTCCCTTCTTCCAACTTTCATAAACTCTCTCTTTTCCTGAGTCCCAGCAAAAGCCTGTTCAGACAGTCAATCATCTTCCCTGCTGGTTTGTCTTTTGGCACTTGAGGTTGGCCTGCTTCTGCATGCTTAACATTTCCTTCTTTCTTTCCTTCCTTCCTTCCTTCTTTTCTTTCTTTACAAGACAAAGCACCCTATCTAGAATACTTCTCTGCTACTCATACCCCTCTCTGTAGGATATTTTTATTTAGATATGCATTTAGGAAATACAGCTTTGTGGCACTTTTGTTGCTCAAAAATATTCTATGCTCCTGCCATTATTACAGTTCCAAGCCCCCCACCTTACTTCCTCTGCTACTCCCTTAATTTCTTAAACTTTGTCCTTTTATAATCAATAACTTCAGTTCCAGGATAAACTTATGTTTATCTTTCAGTTTAAATAGAGACAATTCCTGACTTCATCCAAAGTTGCTTTGTGCAACCAACACTTTCCAAATGCCCTCACCATTTCCCAGAGCTAAGGACAGAAGACAGGCTCTTAGTCTGGCTCAGCATTTTGGTAAATGCTGGCTGCCCCTACACTACAGAATTTTTAGTGTTCTGCATCAGAGACCAGCCACATAATCAATCTCTGCTCATAAGACATTTCTTCTTATGTTTAGGTGGTCCCTCTACTGCTTCCCATCAATATACCATAGATATATTCGGTGAATACTAACTGATTAATCTTCACCATTCCACCAATAAGCAAGCAAGAAATAAGAAAATAAGGCATAGGGGAGTTAAATGACAATAGATACATAATTACCTAATGTATGATTGGAATTATAATATAGGTTTCCTTAGATCAGATCTATTTTTAATTATTAAGCATAGTCACCACTTCTTTGAACAATTGTATTAAAAATTGTGGGTTATGAGAACTCAGCTGCAAATTTGTCTTTTTTTTTTTTTTTTTTCAAATTAAGCATTTTGAAAACCACAAGTCTGGGATCCATGAAGATTTGAGAAAACCAATTAACAGTAATCTGCCCTTTCCCAGATCTTATATTCCTGTTTGAATGCTAGCTGTGCCCATCTGATCAACAAAGAGGGGAATAACACAATACATCATCTTAATCTTTTGGAAAGTCTAATTTGCTCATTATGATATTATGACATAAGGAAAGCAGTATCAATAAAATCAATAGCCACACAAAAATAGATACCCTGTATGCCACAATCCAGCAGACTGAGCATGGGCTAACAGCCCAGCTGTTGGAAACACATTTCACCCGTCATCCATTATTTGCACATTAAGATAGAATAGGTGTTGAAAGAACAATCAATATTTGTATCTCTATGGAGATAAGACTTTTGTCATTCCTCTGAAATCAGGGTCAAAATCACACCTTTGAAAGTTATGCTATCATAGTAAATGGCAACATATAGATGGGCAGTAAGAGATTGTCAGCTGGAAGGGAAGACTTCAGGAGAGAAAGCTTGTACTAGTTTTTCTTGTTTTTCATGAAGTCATGACTGTACCATACATTATTCAATTAACAAGATCACCCTCCTACAGTCACTTGAAAATTCCTCTTATCATCTTTGTTCCCTTCTTTTGTATGAATTGAGGTGGATTTTTCCCACCACAGTTTCAGTGAACCCTGGCTGCAGCTTCTAAGAGGCTCATTATCTCTTCTATCACATCAGCTTCTGCTTTCAAGGCTTATTGTTGAGTTCTTAGTATAAACTGACAGGCTAAAATCCCTTCAAAACACCCAAGGTGCCTTTGCCACTGAGTAAACAGCAAAGCATCAGGAGTGCTGTAAAACCCATTTAATCAAAAATATATACTACATGAACACTGGGACACTGAAAACCTTTGGAAGTACAATTACCCTAATTTCTTCCAAAGATGAAGAACACTTGATGTGTTATTTAAATGGGCCATCATTTTGAATCTCCATTATAGATTTGATTTGCTTCTGTAAAATATGCTTTAGGAATGTGCAGGTTTCTCTCAGTCTTCATGTCTGGCAGCACTCAGAAGTAATACAATCATATCAGTTCATGCAGGTTACAGAGCTGTAACCTGTACAGACTTGGCTATCCAAATATAATCTTCCTAACAAGTTGCTGGCTGTCTGGAGTAAGTAAATCAACCTTACTCTTGTGGTCTTTTCTTTGGTCAAGACATTATTGGAGCAACTCACCAAGATGCAAACACAAATATGTGATTATTGCAAAGCACTCCTCAGGGAGATTTCCACTCCAACCTCAGTGACATTCAATAGTATTTTGGGGACTAACTCCCTGAAAGCCAGACAAAAATTCTCCGTCAAAATAAGGGTGCCTGTGTGTGCATACACATATGCATGTGCACCTAAATCCATCTGTGCTCCTGCCTCCTTGTGCACATACACCCCACACGTGCACACCAGTGATGCAGTGCCACAGTGCTTTGACAGAAGCCATTCACATGATGTTTAAGCAAAACCTCTTCTTTCAATTGCTACTCTCAGCTAGTTCTGTCAAACTAATAATACAGGTCTGTGCAACAAAATGTTACAATATCAGTATTAGCATATAAAATAAAGGTAAGTATAGGTTTCCCATGTCTTTATTTCTTTTCCATTTTCTCTCTATTGGAGAAATTTGCCAAAGCCAAACACTTTCATTTTTTTCCTATGTGGCAGTTTTGTTTCTGATGATGACAAAAGAAGTATCTCTGTTTAAGATAAAAGGAGATGTTGCTCCTTTGATTTGTTTTTTTTTTTTTTTTTGATTCCTAACAATGTACAATAACTATAACTACAGTGGACTATTTAATAGTCCTGTAAGCATTACATGGTCTATCGCTGAAGAGAGTCTAGCTGCCTCAACTAAACAAAATCACTTGCTGTAAGAGCATTTTTCAGGACAGTGATAAATCACAGTGTAATACAATCATGCATTAAGCTCCAACCAGATGTGAGACTGGCACAAATATTAAAGTACAACTGGGGAAGTCAAGTATGTACAAGTCATTGACAACATTGGTGTAAGTGCTCTAGACAAGACATTTAAAAGAAATTTACATAAAAACATAGATTAAATTTATCAAAGTTTGATAAATTTTAAGACAGTAAAAAAGTACAGAAAGCATGAAAAAATAAAAATCCCAGCCAGTTCATACTGTACAGTTTTACTACATTTATATTACAGAATGAAGACAGAAAAAAGATACAAGGAATTAAGAGCAAAGAAAATTCTGCTGGCTGTGGCCAGTGGAATTTCATTGCCAATGAGAGATGCGCACACACAGATGCACGCACACGCACAGAAAACAAAGACATAAACCAAAAGAACCATTTACTGTAACAAGTGACAGACAGAGAGGTGGGAACATTTGGCATGTTGCAGCACATGGAGTCATTCCCGATTGGCTAACGATGGTACCTGGCTCGGCTGGAGGTCGCCGGGCTGCCTGAGCGGCGCCACCGACGGAGGAGGCACTCCTGACGTGGACGCGGAGCGGCCCAGCCGGCAGCTGGACTTGGACTCTGGAAAGGGAGAGAGAGAAACTCCAGTGAGCAGGAGCAGGTACTGCTGCAGCAAGCTGAAACACTGTGGATCCAGGATTCCCTTGGAATGGAGACTCCAGCCTTGGTAACAAGTTAAAGTCTTGGACATATGGCTGAATCATGAGCGGAAGTTGAGATCAGAAGAGGGATTCGGGCAGGACTCATGCCATGTCCTGGCCTCTTTGCTCAGGCATCTCTGAAGGATAGAGCATAAAACAGCAGACAGGAAGAATACAAAAGAAGCATTCCTGTTTCCCCACTCCCCTGCTCCCCAGCATCTTTTCTACTCCTCATGTAACACAGCAGTGATTAAGGGAGGTACAGAAGCTTCTTGTTTCACCTCTTCATCCCAGAGCTGAGAGACATGACAGCGCAAAGACTGACTGTGCTGAAGGAAAGCATGAAATGCCAGAAAATGAAGGAGGAGGTATGTAAAAGTGGTGAAGATACTCTCACACTTGGGGATTTGGAATGACACCAAAAATACTTGGGAATCTCATGTCATTGGCAATGAAGGAAGAAGAAGAGACAAATCAAAACATCAGCAGTGGCAAAGTCAGTTGCCCACAATCAAGATGATAGCAGAAGCAATGTTTGCCTTGAGAGAAAGCTCAATTTCAGAGAAGAACTTCACAAAAATGACACAGTTATTTGATTTTCCTTCTGCTGCTTTATATGGAGTAATTTCTGAGAAGGTTCCCCACTGATTTCCAGCACAGGTTACTATTGTGCACACTGACACGAGGTGACCATGCATTTCAGGAGGCCTGGATGAAAGTGTTTATATCTAAGTCATGCTGACACCCATGTACTACCCCAGCATTCAGCTGGTCTGGGAGAAAATGTCTTTTCCCAAAAAAGGGATCTGCCTGTTTCTGACCAGGAAATTTTTTAGTCCTTACATTTCCTTTATATGGCTGAGGAAGCACCTCTCAGCCTGTGGCTCTGCTCAGATCAATGTGTTCATTCTCCTCATGTTTCATAAACCTTCTTCCCAACACTGCACCTGCTTTTTGCATTCAGTGGGCAAACACTGAAAACATTTGGACTCACCAGACAGATTTGGTACAATAACAGAGTCTCACTCTTCACATTGGCAGTGCTGCTTTACCATGAAGAACAAGTAATTACAATATCATGCTTCATTACAATTTAAAGAATTGTGAGTTTTTTAAATAAGGTTTGAAGAATTCCTCCTATTCAATTCTATGTTTTCAAGAAGAAAGAAAGGACCTATGCCTCATGCAGTTGTGGTTTAGCAAGTTTGTCTCTGAAGCACATCTTTTGCCTGTGTCTGTCTGAAATTTATTTTGTCATGCCTCGTTTATACAGCTGCTTTTTCTGCATTTGTTTTACACTGATTTCTCTATTTCCTGTGGATCTCTAGTATCACCACTGGCCACTGGCTGGGCCACAGCTTGAAAGGAAGAAAATGCCTATTGCCAGCATGACCTTTAAGTCACTTGGCACACCTTGGAAACTTGAGGACAGCTGGCACATTACTCCACATACCAGCAACATGCTGAAATGGATTCTTCCACTCTCACTGATGCTTTCTCATTGTCACCTTCAATGCTTATTTTCTTCAGATATTTCAGAATTCAATAGGGCGTAGAGGAGAGCTATCCACTTATGCTGGAGCACTTAGACCAATGAAAGCATCTGTATGGGTGAATATTCATCAACTAAATATTAATAGGTTAGTTAACATCCAGCTGGCTGAGCAGCAAAAATATTTATGCTGCTAGCTGAATGCATTATTCAATTCACTCTCTCCTAGGCAGTCTGTAAACACACCACGAGTCAGCACAGCCATAGGCGCACAGAAAGGAGCAGACTGGCCTCCTCCATAACCTTGCTTTTGTACACAGTCTGCTGGTTTGCTTTTTTTGGACTTGGGCAGTTACTCTGAAGGTTGATTAGATTTGTTTTTGCTCTGATTTTACGCAGTCTGTGTGCCAGATTTCTGACCGTTCCTTTCAGTAATACAGATATAATAATGTATCTCATTATTATATCTCATCTCTCATCTCCTGGAATTCTGCTGGGGTTTCAGAAAGGACAAGAACTGGGTTTTTTCAGTTGTTTTTCTCTACTGCTAAGTAAAGATTCTGTTTCTGCTGTGACAAGCAGAATCAGACACTCAGCACATAAAAAAACTCCAAGACACTGTCTGACTATGCTTCTGAATTATTTTCTTTGCTTTAGGAAAGCAGAAAGAAGTGTCATAATTTCCAATTTGGATCTATGAGCAGCAGCAAGAGATTACCATTTCCTTGCCAAAGAGACTCCTTTCATCTGGCATCAAAGAAATAAAACCTATCACACACAGATGAAGTATTAGTTCCTTTATCTCCCTGTAATATATGTTCCAGTATTAAGGAAACTATTGTGATTTCCATGGTGATCCTCACCAAAAGGTGCTTCAGACATGGCTCCATCTAGCTTTTTTTGTCTCAGTGACAATATTTTTAGACCAAATAAATACTGTATTCTACTGTAAATAGTGGTCTGAGTAACAGCACACCACTTTGGGGGAAAAATAGTCCACAAAAGGTCTGTTCTTTAAGTGCTGCACAACTCACTGCTCTGTATTCCGCAGCACGCTATTTTTTAGCTATGGGCAGCTTATTCTCTCTGCTGGGACTCTCTGGGTTTTCCTATTTGCTGCCAAGGATCTTAAAGGAAAAACTACTGCTAGCAAATATCAGGGATGGTTTCTAGCATTTAGAAATTCATGTTTATCTCTTGTGGATGATACTGAGACAACTCAGTATTAACATCTGAAATGAGTAGTCTTGGACTGAGAACTCCCCTTAGTGACAGTAATTCATGGTGTGGAGATGAGTTCTATCAGCCATCCTGACAGACAAAGGGGAAGGCTCTGTAGGCCAGGGGATGCAGGGCATGTGAGCAGCCTTTGGAGATGCCATCAATGGGCAGCATGAGGTCCGAACTCAGCAGATTCTTGGGGGTAGCCAGAAGGCTGTGAAATATTATGCACAAAAATGTTCATGAGATTCACTTGGTGTATTTGGAAATTTAGCGGTATTATTTTGCGCAGCTTCAAATGTCACATCTCTCACAGTGACATGGTAGGAAAATGCACTGCAGGTCTCTGGGAGCCAGGTGCAGTGCAGTGCCAGGGGGGCACAGTGGGCCAGTGGGCCTCAGTCCCCTCTTATGGCACCCACAGTGGCCACAGCACTGAGACAGTGGGGCCACAGCCCCCTGACACCAAACCCACAGACAAAATCAGCGGCAATAGGCCAAGCATCACTGCACTCCTGGGTTTAAACTCCGTTTTGACAGCACCAGGAGGGTTAGACACGGAACCAGGCAAGCATTTAGTTCCAAAGGGCAGCATTAAGGATGAGAATTTCAAGAGAGACTGTGCAGCACAGAAATACAGGCTTTCCAAACACAAAGAGGATTGCCTTAAAGTTGTGTATTTAATTATGTGTCTAAGCACTCATATAAATGGCTGGTTTTCAAAAACTGCAGGGGCTGCCAGCATGACTAAAGATGTAGAGGCTTGGCTGATTGTATTTGGGACATGGGGTGTCGTAGGATTTTCCTCAATAATGCACAGTGCTGAAATGCCACAAGATTTTATGGAAATATTTTCAATCAGTTTTATACCAACATGCTATGGCTTTATATATTTTCCAGGAGTACAACAACTCTTCACGATTTTTATTTTTGGATCTTAATGGGAAGAGTTCTTTATTCATCCAAGGAAGCCTATCCTAATCTTAATTCAAAAAAATGCTCTGGCTGTCACTTACATTGGAGAAGCTTCTTATCCTGTCACAGTCTCTTCTTTGCACATGAAAAGAGAAATATTGCTTATTTGCTACAGCTGCCAAGAAATGCGTTTTGAATTAAACAAGGCAATGTGACAGGCTGGGAGCAATCACATAAAAAATAAAAAAAGGAGAAAAAGAAGAGAAAAAAAGCATATATACTGGAAAAATACATCACACCAAGTGTCTTCATACTGGCCTAAAAAGAGATGAGTAAGCTGAAATAAAACTTGAAGTTATGAAACATTATGGTGCAATAAACTATGTAGTAATATGCTATCTAAACAAAGCATTTAGTACTTTGCTATTGGCAGAAGCCAATTAGTGCTAAAATATCACAGCAGCACATCAAACTCAACAGTTTTCACAAGGGGAGCACTGAACCTGTGGAACTCAATGTTGCCAGATATCCGTAGGTCAAAAGTTTAGCAACTCTCAAACCCAAGTCAGGTAGTGAGCAAAATCATGTCTGAAAAGGACCCCCCTGTTTAGGTTTAGGGGATATTTGGCCCAAAGTGAAAAGCTGTTAGTGGAATATACTTTGTATCCTGAAATATGGGTGTTTATTTTCTTTGTAAAGCTTTTGTTATAGGATTTGGCTGTGTTTGTTTGCTATTTCCTGGCTTCTTTGAAATACAAGTACGTGTTTGGTATCTTTGTTCAGGTTTTTTGTGTGTGTTTTTCTTACACCAAGGCAATATTTTTACTCCAGCCAGAATTGGTGTGATCCCACATCCTGGAGGTCTCACAGCAGGACCATGGGCATTGGTGGGATGCCCTCAGTGTGCAGCTCCCGGTGCTGCTCGTTTCATTGCAGGTGACAGGCACTGCTCAGGGGAGCTTGTGAGCAGAGAACAGTGACCAGTGCAGGCAGGGTCTGGGCCACTTGGGCAGTAACCAAAAACCCCAGCATTAAGTTGCCTTCATGTGGAAAATCCTTGTGGGTTTAGGAGCACAGTGATACTGCTCTGAGGAGAAAATGTAGGGGTTTGTGGCAAAGACCTGGCTGGCAGGAACTGACTTTTGCTATTCCCTTCTTACACCAATGGAAGCATCTTGTGCCTTGGGCTTACCAGGCTTTGCCCCATTCCCAAATAGATGAACTTAAAATATTCATTGCTTTTGGGAATCAACAATGATGGCCAGTAATTCCAATGAAGGGTGGGTATTTCCTCCCTTCCTGATTACCTACAATCTTTTCAGATGGAATATTTATGGCTGGCTGAGTGACAAGCTGGTGGCAATTCAAAACCAGGATGCGACCGTTTCTGAGATTTTAAAGGCAGGGCAGTGCCTGTCTCCAGCAGCAGGTGGCAATGTAAAATGGTTCTCCGTTGCTGTTAGAAAAAAGCAGCAACATTCCAGAAAATACTCTTCAAGTCTCCTGGAGTGAAGTTACACAGATTCTGTTTTACAGATTGTGTTTGGCTGTTCATTATAATTGCACTGAATTTCCTAAAAGTCAGCATGCCCCCAAATCACACTGCTTTCCGTAAGAAATTATAGGGTGCCAAGAAACAGAAAGTGCCCTTGACAAATTCTGTCACAGAACAATCAGGCATTAGAGACAGTGATAACTGTGTGCAGCTGACAGCCCAGGCTCTTTGAACAAAATGGACAGAAAGCTCAAGATTCTGTTTGGAGATGGCTCATTCTCCCTCTGATCCTACTAGCAGTTTCAGAGCTGGGGAGAACCCACTGAAAAATCAGTGTTCTCACTCAGGTATTTGCCCAGGCCTCCCCAGTTCCCAGCTCATCTGTGCTGGAGCAGAGCTGCCTGATGAGCACATGTGGGAAATCCATTCCACCCTTTCTCTTCTGCAGCAGAGCAATTCAACCCCATTTAAAAAATTTATTTCAATATTGCCCTAACAAATGCCTGTACCAGTGTGAACTAGGAGGCAGGTACCAAACTGTGATGTTTCAAGGACAAGTCTGCATTAAAAAAAAAAAAAAAAAAAAAAAAAAAAAAGAAAAAAAAAAAAAGTAGCCTTTTTAGCAGTGATGACTGTACTGGGAACTACCTAGATTTTATTTGAGGTAAATCTAAGTTCTAATTCCTAGTGCAGAATTGCTTTATCCCCTTGACTCCACAAAGCATTTGTATTCATATGAAAATATTAAATCGCTCTTCTTGCATTCTGCTACAGTTTTAATTTAATTGCAGAGAATGAGTTGTTACTGTTCATGTACAAGTTCATTGAGGAGAACTGTGTACAGCATTCTCAATGCAGTGCCCCACCAAATAAAGGTAAAACCTGTTGCTCAGGCAACAGCAAGAGACATAGGGGAAAAAAATATTCAGGGCAGATGAGAGGCAATATTCATCAAATGAAATATCATAAATCTGCAGGGAAAGAAAAGGCATAATCAGCTCTCAGATTTTAATCATAGAAAGGAGTCAAAATTCAGCCAAGAAAATAAAATTTTTTCTTTGACAGTCCTAGCAATGTAAGACAAAGTCACAGTTAACTAAATCAAGGCATGATTCAACAACTATTACAGTTTGCTGATGCCAAATGGAGACTGAGGCCAACATATTTTGTCTACTTTTGGAGATCAACCAACTCTTTAAAATAAAACTGCTGCAGAAATGTTGGACAGCAGTGTTATATTTTGCTAAGACCTTACTCTTCAATTTTAACTTCTTTATTACTCTGGTCCATAGTGTCATCTTGCAGAACTGAAGAGACTGTTACACACCTTTGGTCTAATTTTCAGATGTCCCAATACTTTGATGTGGTAGCTTTAAACCCATCCTTTAACCTGCATTGGCACAGATGACAGTTTAAAACACTGGGAACAGAATCTTTACCAAAAGCTATGAGCTTATCTGGAAAATTCCCACCTTCCAGGAAGCTTTGTAAGAAGAGACAAGTAAGCAGATGGCAGTAGCACAAAAAAGACCTGTGCTAGAGTAGTAAGTTTTGCAGAAAAGTCACTTTCACTGCAGCAGGAAGGAGTGTTTGGGGGGGTCTGTAGCAAGCAAAACTGGACTACATGATTGCTGCAAATGACATTTCACGTCAGCAAAGACTCTTCAACTTAGACACTGAGTTTCAGGTGTCATTTTCAGCAATTCAGGGACAATGTGAGTCCCATTATCACACAGGGAAGCGATGTTCTGGGTGAGGTGCGAGCATCTCTGCTCACTCAGCAGTGTAAACACTCCTTGCTGCCACTCACTGCCCAGCAGATCTCTCAGGCAGGAATGATTTCTGGTCTGAGCAGGTCATTCCTGCTCTTATACTTACAGAACACTGACCATGAGGCTTCAGTACCAGACATGCCAACTGTCTTTAAAGGGGATATTTCTCACAGTCCAACTAATAAACAATGAAGTTACTCTTTTATGAGAGCTGTCAAATCTCTAAAGTACCAACACAGTACTTGTGCAAGGGCCATAAATATCTCTTTATAGGTGTCTATTCATTTATCAGTTCCATTTTTCTTAGTCAATTTATAAACAAGACTGCATTATAATGCCATGGTTTATGGCAATTTACTATTTAATATGTAAATATTTTTGAATAATAAAATGAATAAGTGTTTATCTGAGACTTCTGAAATCCACAGTCACTTTTCTAGAAATTTCTGTACAAGCAGAAAGCAAAGACTGCCTGTGTCCTGTCACCGTGCCCCTCAGTAGGACAGCCTTACTTTTGCAAAGTGTATTTTTGTAACTTTATGTGATACCTGAACTTATGAACTTCCTGAGGTGCCATCCTAGGAGTGTCTGCCTTTTCAATGTCAGGTGGAATCCTCTACTTCTTTTTAGGTAGATGACTAACACATTTGTGTGCTTCTATTCTGTGCCACCATCTCAGCTTTCCAGCACAGAGCACAAGCGCAGCACAAGCTTTATTAGCGCAGCAGTCATTGTGCAGGGACAAATCTAGAAGATATTTGGAAGTCCAAAGAATCTGGATGCTTCCTACACCAGTGTATCTTTAGAGACTCTTCATCTCACAAGGAGATTTGTGAGATTTTCCCTGCGCCGTGCTTGACGTACCTGAGCTGTTGCCTCCAGCCAGCATGGTTGGGCTGACAGAGGATCTCCCCAGCCTGCTGGACACCATGGGGGGGCCTGGTGTTCCATCCCATTCCTGAGCTTTCCCTGGCTCCCTGGAGGAAGCTGTCCCATGATGACCTCTCTCTTTGTTTTCCAGCTTTGGTAGTGGCTCAGTGCTGTGGCTCCTGATCTTCAGCTCATCTAGTGGTTCTGCAAAATACACAAGAGCACATTTCATTACAGAGTAACTGCTAATCATCCACATCATGCAATAATCTTTTGCAAAATACTCCATACCTATCAATCATAAATCCTTTAAGGGCAGTTTATAGCATGGTTTTACCATCTAGGCCAAAACCATAGTTTTCAGTACACTTTTAATTATTAAAAGCACACACCATGAAGCAGATGGATAAAATGTAACATTTCTGTTACGATTTTCATACGCCAGGAAAATAATTTGGAAAATGGATCCCTACCAAATTGTGGTTTATTAAAAATTTATAAAAATATTTGAAATCTTTTCAGCTAACATTTCATTAGGAACAAGTACTTCTTCAGGCACTTTCTAAGGAAGCTCTCTCCTAAGGCAATATTGTGCAAGCAACATATCTGTACTTCTCATAAGCTCTAATAAAAGCACACAATCCACAAAACAAAACAGCACAAATCCATTTTGGGTGTGCCCAGCACCATAACCTAGGGAATGAAATTGCAGTTGGTTGAAAAAGCCTTGGAGTCAGAAAATTACTTTCTGTTTGCAGCACCACAAGTCAATGAAAAGAGGAGCAATTCGAAACACAGCTGAATGATTTTTTCAAGTGAAGCAGTGATGTCTGCTTTCTTCATGGCTGGTGATTTTCTGTTCTTTTCTCAAGACCTCAGTTTCTTTTCTTGCAGGTTGAGCAATGCATGGAGAAAGAATTAATTCCTGCTCTTTCTCATCTGTAGCTATGAAAAATTCGCATGGAAAACTAGATACAGAAGAAACATTAGATTGCTCTTTAGTTGTAAGAGATAATTACTGTGCTACTCAGTTATTCAAGGCTGCTGTTTACCTCATTTTGAAAAAAAAAATCAGTTTGGAATTTATTTCTCAACCCAAAAGACATTATACACTCAGTTCTAGTCACACAAATTTATTAATCCACCCCCTGATGTACCTTAATTTCTGTATGCATCTACAGTCTTGGAATCCACATTTGATAGAGATAACAATCTTCCCTTGAGCTCTATGTCAAAAATTTTTGGAGGCTTCAAGGGACTTTGGAAGATTTGAGAGAGCCAAGCAAAGAGAAAACGCCAGGAGCCACAGAGAGGCAGGAGATTCCAGCAGTTCCCTGAGGGGCCCGTGCTGAATGGCAGGGCAGATTTACAGTCTGAGCTGCCACTTGCTCTCCCAGTCATCCCCATGGCCCTGAACTGGGACTGTTCAACCACTCAGGTGATACAGTCCCCAAAAAGGACCACATTCAAATCACTTTGATTTGCCCATGGCTCAGTGCCCCACAGACTGTTACCTGTGGTACAGCAAACAGGGAAAGATGCACTGCTAGACAGCTCTGATGGGCAGAGAACCCACCTATGCACAGCAGTGACAAAATCTCACCTTGTTTTGGGTTCTTTGACATTCCAGTCTGTAGATGACCTTAGTGAGCAACAACACAGTCAGCCTGGGGTTTAATCAATGAAACATCATACAGGAGACATGTAAGAATATCTAACTGTACGTGTGGTGCAAGATGTAATCATTAGTGTATTTTGTTAATTACAATTGGTTAACAGTAAAATTTAATGTTGAGGATATCTTACCAGAGCCTTCAAGTAGTAACACTGCATGATAAAATGATTAAACCACCCTGGGCTGGGAGTCGTAAATAGGATTCTGTAAAATTTATGTGATAAAGACCTTCAAAACTCAAACCTCTTCCATGAACCTCTAATTCACCTACCTACTTTAGTGTATTCAAAAAGACACTGCAGTGAAAATCCAAAGTGTTTGTTTTTCCTAGCTGGTAACCCCAGTGGGGTACAAGGTCAAGTAACAGTCTGTATCAATATAACATGACATCTGCCTTTCAGGGACCTTTGCTAGGAGATGTCTGTGACACAGATCTGTCTCACTGCACAGACAGACCTGCTAATACAAAGAGCTGTGCGAAGAGAGGGAGAGCCCAAATTATTACCAGGATTAGAACTGTTTCAGTTGACAGCATCGAGCTATCAAAAATACTGATGTGTTTTCTCACATAACAGATGCATGCAATCATATGTGATTTTTTTTTTCTTCACACCAATAACATGCACTTCTTTAAGACAGTACTTATCTGGGAAAAGCACAAATAAAAACAAAGTTTCAGAATTCTTTAGAAATGCACACAATCCTCTTTCCCACTTGTACAGGACAGTGTCTAGATTGCAGTTTATTCTTCACAGCAAAATGAAGAGAAAGCCAGGACACTAGAATGTGTTTTGAGAAAGTAAGAATTGGGCCCTCCAAGTGCCCTACCAAATTAATGCATCATTCAATAGAGTTAATCTACTATGTCATCCAGCTGTTCCTGGAAATGCTGTGACTACCTTAGTGAAAACCTTCTCTCTGTGTGCCTCATTGACACTACTTGAACACCTCCCCTTGAAATTTCACACACATGCAGTCAGCCCTTGTCACAGTGGAAATGCTCTGGCTGAGTGTGTAGCTAAGGATTTATCTACTTCAGTTTACTTAACAGAGAAACATTTGTACTTGTTGCCTGATAAAAAAGATTTGTGCATTCTTAGTTGTTACTGTCAGCTGAATCAAAGCTCAGCTTTTGCAACCAGCTGGAAACTGGTGGTGGAACTATTCAGACTAAATAAAGATTTGGTTTATAGTCTAATTTTTTATAAGGTGTAGAAAATCAGTTTTCAGCTGGCTGTCTAGACTTTGTAAATTTACATTCCACTATCCTTTCTTGTGGATTTTCTGTTCACAGTTTATCTGAAAAGTAATATATCCTAAAAATGAAAGGCAGATTGAAACAGATTATAATGTCATGTAGCCCATCACAGGGCCTGAATCATTATTATTTGGTGATCATTATCAGTAACAATGATACACAGACAGAAAACAACATGTCAGTGTTTTATGTAGTTTTCTGTAATATTACTTTCCAGCTCACTTGTAAATACAGAAAAAATGAAAAAGGAAATTATTGCCTCACTTTTACTCAAATATTTTTGTGAGAAGTTTAGAACAGTTTCAGCTTCTTTAATAAATGTCAATGGGCATCATACTCAAACTCAATTAAAATAAATCAAAAAATCACCCTGCTACTTCTTGGTTGACTGAAGGAGCACTTCAGTTCCAATGTGCCCAGGACAGATCTAGAAATGCAGAATGCTCCTCTGCCAGGTCTCAGCCCATCCCTGGCCCATTTGTTGACTGTGCCAGCCACTTGGATGTTTTTATCTTGTCACCTACTCCCTGCTGCAAATGTAGCTCCATGGAGCAAGCTGAGTGGCACAAATGGTTGTGTCTCATAAGAGCACATTCCCCACTCCACTTTTTTGGCTCCTGCAGCCTGGCCCAAGACAGAACACACCTGTAGTTACCTGTGGGGTGGGGATCTTATTGTGCCCTGAAAAGGAAACCAGGATATTTTACACAGAGTAACCCTTTATAAAGGCTACAGCAGGACTTAAATGGCCACTTTATCCCTACTGATCCCATCCTGAAAACAGGAACTCTTACCAGTCAGATTTATCTATGTACACAAAGACACAGCTGAAAGGTAACAGTAGCTGCTGCACAGCTCTTTTAATTTTTTTTTTTAATTTTTGTTTGGGAAGTGCAGAAACATAGGTTGGATCTAGGTTATCTTGTGCTGTTAAAAACCTTAATTTGGAGGTGGGAAATGCCAAAGCTCAGTATTATGCTGGGAGCTCACTGAGTCATACGGTGGCCACCAGAAAATCCTTTTGCAGTCAAGTGCTACTTTTTGAAAAGCTGAAATTATTATGGAAAGCATCTTTATTGTTCAATAATTCTCCCACCAAAATGGTACATAAAAATGTAAATTTCAAGAAATAATTCACTGCTTTAAATATTTATGGACACAGTTGGTTAAACTGCCATAAAGGCACTCAAATGTTTCAAGCACTTTCAGCTGTCATAGTATTTTAATATGTAAAGATATGCATTTTTCTTATTTATTTCACCAGAATCTCAGACTTTTCCATTTAAAGTATAAGATGGTTAACATCTCCTATAAACTATATATTTTACAGATAATTGGCATGTACAATCTCCCCTGTAGGAAAGGTCCCCTAATAGCCGAGCACTAGGCAAGGCTGGCACGTGAGCTGTGGTACTAGAAAACTTGGAAATGCTAAAGGAAGTGAGAAACAGAGTCAGTTGTAACTTGGACCTAAGAAAACTGAAATTACAGCTACAGACAACATCTTACCCAAAAAGCTATCATTCAAATGAATAGAACTCTGTGGCCAGCCTGCCTTTCCGTTCTTAAACACATTAATTTCAGGTCCCAGTGGCTTCTTAGTGCAATGCTCAGTGACAAATGGCAGAACCTTTATTACTGCTTGAGGTTTGGGGGAAGAAAGAAAAGCAATTGTCTTAAGAAACTTAAAATGAGGATTGCTCTCTGCCACCTCTCTCAGCTGTGAGCTGAAATGTACAAGATAATCCATACATTATTAATTTATTCCTTTTTTTCCTTTGTGTTTGTTATAAAGTTAAATAAATAATATATCACTCTAGGCAGAACTCACATACTGGGGGAAGCAAATGGTCTAAAGTTCAGCAGTCACATACAGGTGCAAACAAAGTCACTCAGGGTGGGGTTTAGATGTGAGCCAGAGCTCCTTGTCTCCTCCAGCCTCGAGAGATCAGCGCTCCCCTGGTCTGGCCACAGGACAGGCATGGCCCTGGCTGAGGGAGCAGGGGCACAGAGCACCCCAGGGGCACACCTGGAGGGGTGCAGATGCAGGATGAGACTGCAGCCAGCAGTGTGTGAGGGTCAGTGCTACCTGGGACATGGCCCGGGCACAGTGTCCCTCCTGCCACTGCCGGCACCAGGGCAGCCTGTGCCTGACTGACCCCTTCTGCAGGCACTGCGTGTAGAGCAATGCTGAGCCTCCCAGAGAGCCCCAGAGTTTCTTCTGTCTGCATCCCAGGGCTTTTTATTTACCTTTACTACACATTCAAAATT